TTATTTATCATTTTCCTAACCTATCCACTTTTCATTCAGTATTAATTTATTTAACACACTTACCTGCCATGAAATTGCAGATTGTTAATGAAAATATATGAATTTATTTTGAATTTAAACCTTTTAATATTAGTACTTCTTACACGATAAAAATAAAAAATTATTAAAAATATCATTCAATACATTTATTTATTTAAAAGTAAAAATGGAATAAAGGTACAAAAACTACAATTTATAATTTTAATCATCTTCTTCCTCTTCATCGTCGTCTTCCGGCTGCTGGTAAATTTCAAACTGGTTTCATTATCGTCTTCAACGACATTTGTTCAAGTTCTTCCATGATTTCGGGTCAAAGTTCCATCTTTGTTAATGTCGCTCTGATATGGTAGAGCATTGAGACAAGCTTGCCCATTACATGGCCTACAGCTAAGAGCATTCAAGCCGCTTTCCTGCATCCGCATCGCGAAACCAACCACTCTTGCAGTTGCAGAAAATTGTATTTAGCAATGTTCTGGAGCAGGTGGTAAATTGTCATGATAGGCTCCAGAAAATCGTTTTGCATTGCCCAACCCAACCTGGGGTTCCAAACCAAGTTTGAACTTGATAATATACACGTTCGAAATGTTGATGAGCAGCTCACTTGTTGGTGGAATATTTGAAGCTGCACAGGTTTATTAAGTTTTGTAGACTTGACGATAATGCATATAACGAAGATGATCGAGACTTTTCCAGATTTCGAGCATTATAGACTGCCAATAAGGTTTGAGTTCCACTCTTAATAATCTCTGGCCGAACAATTTTCTTCCTCAAATGCTTGCAAGCTAGTTCACCAAATTAGTCAGTTTCTCAAAAACTTTTAAAATGTTTTTTCTTTAAAAGCGCAAAGTGTGTCACATCCACTTAATGCGTGGAGAAATAAAATATGTGTTTTGGAATGAGGATAATTATCAAAACTTTTAGTCGAGTTATTCTCCGTTTTACATTCCTTTCCCAACTTTTTAAAGAAAATTTCTTTGTTCGTAAGACAGTGTACGCCAATTAAAATGATGAGTAAATCAATATCTTTTATTTACAAATTTACAGATTTTAAAGAAGATGCACTTAATTATTTCTAATTAAAATGTCATTAGTGTTAATGGGAATATAATTATAGTAGATTTAAGTTTTTCCCTTCATTATTTTAATTTTAGGAAACGGTGATCAGTATTATTGAATGATAAAGATTAAAGGCATGAAGAATGATAAATATAATATAATAGTTAATAAAATTGAAAATATTTATAATCATTGATTTATCGGTAGTATCAACTATATATGCGCGTTTTTGATCGAGGCACCGTTGACCTGAAGTGATGCTGTGACCGCGCGCTCTAAGCCCTCTATCTGAAAACGGTTCACCGTATGAAAAATTTTAAACAAAATTTTGTAGAGAAATTTTGTATTCTACCTACAATATTGATAATAAATACCAATAGCAAAAAACCCATAGGAAATGAGATATTTACAAAAAAACGCAAAAAACCGATTTTTGTGACCTTTGACCTTGAAATTTAATAGTTGCGTACACCCTACCATATGTAGGTTTTGAGACAACTTTTAGGGTGTCAATATACAAGTATTTACATACTTACAGCTGGGTATCTGAATTCCGAGATTCTTACCTAATTTAAGCTTAAATGACTGGACTAATATTTGTGTTGGTAGTTTCGACGAATTCGGCTGTGTTGAATATAATAAGTCGGCTCTATTCAACTGTCAAACATGCAACTTTAACTTTGATTATAAATTTACATATTTAAGGTTATAATTTATCACTAAAATCTGACTACTATAAAATGCTGGACAGACGCCACATTCACAATATTTTTTTTTGCGTTTAAGTTAAGCATGTTCTAAATTTTGTATCCAATTTTAGTCGATTCGATAGTAGTCTATCAGCCTATAGAATATTAATATAATAACTTTTGACTATGGTGAGATTTAGATAATCTAAAAATGATGAGAGAAATTCTAACTTACCTCTAAAAATATGTCGGCACAGTCATGTCCGACAAGAACTAAGGAACCGACGCGGTGTAAATTACAAACCCAGCTCAATGCCATAAGTAGCAGTGTGACCATATGATGAACAAACATTTGCCAAAAATTTTTCCGCTTAACGTCAATAAAGTCTTACAGTAAGGAACCAATAAAAAGCCCTGGATATATAATACCACCATATGTTGCTAGAAATAGACTAAACAAATATTTTGTTGCCAATGTAATGTAAATAAACATATTTCACCTAAAATAGGGAAATATCGCTTGTAACTGCTGATACATGTACTCATTTATCTTCTGATCATTCTCCTGTGCGAACAAACCTTATAATACTATAATTTTTCATTGTACTAACAATGTTCAGTGTAAGAAACACAGCAAAAAAAGTAACGAACTTCAATAAAATATTCTGTCAAAACGGCTTTAAAAATTCATTAATAAAATGACAAATAAAATATTTTTCACACATATTTTTCTTGAAATGCACATACTGCCTTTTTTTATGGCGGAGTTTTAGGCACACTTTAACCAATTATTAACCTCTTAGGTCTTCGAAAAATTCAACTCTGACAAATAAGTAAGGGCTAAGTTTAGGTGTACCCGAAAATTTTTACTCTTGCAACTTGCAAGGATCAAAGCCGGTGAAATACATTCACTACTATTACTACTTTATATTCAAAATCTTGAGAAACATATTAACACAATTAACTCAAATGAAATACAATACATATATGTTATGTGATATTAACACAATCAAATTTAATATATAAGATATATAACATCAATCAAATAATAGGAAATCCCAATTTCATCCTGGACTAATGAAAATCATTATATCTATGTAGTATATCAGAGTTTGGTTAATTTGTGGATCGATATCGCACATTTTCAGCATTAAACTATAGGATATACTATATATTATACTTTCACTTAATTTTGTTAAGATATCTTAAATCAAGAGGAAGCTTGAAATTCTTATAACGGGTGATCTAAGTAGAGGTACCTTTTTCAATACCCTTTTTTTGACAAATCACGCGTGAGTCGTATAAAGCTGTCATATTATTTCAATTACGAAATTCACCTTCTGTATAGAATGTGTTTCGCGCGCTTCGCTGAACTTATGGTCAATATATACGGCCTACTGAGCGTACTATTCGCAGCATCATCACCCATCATGAGGCCCAACATTCATTATTGGATACTATTCGACCGAATAGACCATGTCCAGCACGCAGTGAAGAAAATGTAGCGACCGTAACTGAGAGTGTACACGAAGACTGTGGAGAGTCGATTCGGCGACGTTCGCAGCAACTCGGACTGACTTATGGAACGACTTGGCGCATTTTACGACGAGATCTTAAATTGAAATCGTACAAAATACAACTTGAGCAAGAATTGAAGCCGCTCGACCTTCCCAAGCGACATCGATTCGCCCTATGGGCTCTTGAAAAGTTCCAAGAAGATCCGATGTTTTCAAGCCAAATTTTGTATGTTTAATTAATATGTAACAAGCAAAATTGCCGCATTTGGGACGAAGAGCAACCTGAAGACGTTCAGGAGCTGCCATTTCATCCAGAAAAACAACGGTTTGGTGTAGTTTGTGGGCTGGTGGAATCATCGGTCCATATTTCTTCAAAAATGATGCCGGTAAGGAAGTTTTAGTGGTTTTTTTTTAAGTAGGGGCTTTTGAAATGGATCACTCTATAGTACGTCTGAATGTCAAAAATGGGTGGAATCGGGTAAATACTTCCCATAGCCCCCATATACCTAATGTAATGATTTTCGAACTTAATAGTGACTTTATATCGCATATATCGGCCAATATGTGAGTTATCTCAATGAAATTGAAACAGCGTGTTTTTCTAATAACAGTGTATCTAAATTGAATAAAATTGTGTGAAAACTTGATCTAGCACCTATATAACTAATATATATCAGAATTTTCGAACATCTGGCTGACTACTTCATAAAGATTTGTGATGATACCTTAAGATAGTAGTCTGGTAACTTGGAAATATCGAATTTTTTTTCGAAAATACTAGTTAAATGTTGTATATGAAAAGTACAGTGTAAAAATTTTAGAACGAAAATCGAAATAGTGACGAAGTTATAGCACCTATATATACGTGAGCGTCTGGTAGTAGTACGCATATAAATAGAAACATTTTTAATGGGGTCAAACTTTAAACGCGTTTGCCTCGAAACAACGTTTTTAGGCCCGGCCCGGATGATTCAAATTGAAATTTGATAATGTTAATTCTACTTATCAATAGCTCTCGCAGAAACTATGTTCTTTTTTTACGCTAACTTACTATTTTACAGATCGATTTCTACTTTAAAAAAATTCACTTTTTTCGAAGCCAACCATTCTTTTATTTTGCAACGAAATTGTTTAATCCTATTTCCAACCAGAATGATAAGCTCACAGAACAATAAAAATTTTTATTTTTTATTTTAGATGTCCTCAAGCGTCCAAATCACCGGGACCAGCCAACTTTTTTTTAGACGCTCACTTCTGTGCTACGAAACAACAAATTTAAAAAAAAAGGCATAAAGAACTTTTTTGTACACTCTGAGATACTATTAATAATATATTATATTACAAAATCAAACTAATTGAATTCTGTTTTTTTTCAAATAAAATATTCCCAAAAAAGCATAAAAAAATGCAAGTTATCAGACTACTACCTTAATGAAGCCCAGGGAGCATTTTATTAGTAAGTGGTAATGGCAAAAATAGATAAAATCGGGTCAATACTACTCTCAACTCCCATATATTATATATTATGATTTTCGTTTTTCTAACAAGTTTTATGGCAAACATGTTCATTGTGTAAGTTATGTATTTAAAAAAGTTGATGTTCTCAAGTACACCTGAGCAATGTCCAGATTAATGCAATCAACCCGTCCCTTTCTCTGCCTCCAATATATTCTATATAATATTCCCGACTGTCTGCCTGACTTGAAACCATTTAGGTTGGTCAAAACGTGTGATATTTTAATGAAAATAAATGGACAAGTTTTCTTAAAAATTATGTGGTTTGGCGCTGAATTAGAACGAAATTGGTCTAGACCTTGGTTTAGACCTCTAATTCCTAATACATTGAACTCCGATCCTCTGGTTGACGTTTTCCACATCAACTCAATATTTATTTGGCTGCTGGTTTGTCGGTAGGTTTCTCTTTTTTATACTCTCGCAATCTGTTGCTACAGAGTATAATAGTTTTGTTCACCTAACAGTTGTTTGTATCACCTAAAACTAATCGAGTTAGATATAGGGTTATATATATATAAATGATCTGGATGAAGAGACGAGTTGAAATCCACTAAACACGCCAGAGATATTAAATTTTATCTCTGGGATGATATGAGATGACTTTATAGGAACCGCGTTCAAAATTAGACAGTGGGCGTGGCACCGCCCACTTTTAGGTGAAACTCCATATCTTGGGATCTGCTTAACCGATTTCAACCAAATTTGGTGCATAACGTTCTTTTCATATTTCTATGTCATAGTGCGAAATGGGCGAAATCGGACTACAACCACGCCTATTTCCCATATAACACCATTTTCAATTCCATCTCATTCTTTCACTTTCCACTATGCATATCAAGCAACAATGATTATATCGAGGTAAAACTTTGCGTGAATAATACGTTTAAAGTATGCCACCTTGTGACCAATTGTCTAAATCGGACCAAAACTGTTCAAGCCCCTAAGTACTAAATATGTGGACCCCAGTGCCTATAGTTGACCTTCTACCGAAAATATCAGCCAATCCACAAAGAAATCTCAAACGAGTATACCATTTGACTTTGCGAGAGTATAAAATGTTCGGTTACATCCGAATTTAGCCCTTCCTTACTTGTTTTTTAAATATCTTTTAACCCAATTTTATTGATATTATAATAGTAATTGTATATTTTAATTAAAAGTCATGTTAGTGGCAAACCCTTTTTTTATGTTACGAAAGTTATTGTACCAGTATTATACTAACGAATAGGTGGCATATTGATATAATATAATATTATGGCATAAAGGCAAGAAGCAGCATCGCTTGGACCAATTATATTTATTAGACATCGGAGTCCTAAACTGACGGAAATTGTATTACCCGGCTCGACATTAATACTTTAATTTAAAATAAATAAAGCTCTGATTGTTGATATTCTCACCTGATCTTGACACTAAAACCTTTTATTCTGCTGCACATTATATTGAGGTTAGTGCTGCAAACACTCTTTATGCAGCTTAACTTCTATTCTAAGTTCGTCAAAAATCTCTAACCTGTAGGATGTCTTCAGAGATGTTTTCTTCATCTCATTAGTTCTGAAGTTTTCTGAGACTGGTGAAATCATCCAAAGCGTTATTGGCTCAAAAACTTTATATACATCCTCTAATGTGTCATCAAATACAGGTGCCGGCTCGGAGAACACATAAAAAAACTCGTGATTCAACAATATTATGTAACCTTTGTTAATATATTTTATATTTCGGATTTGTAATAAGCAGTGATGTCATCCTCCTTCGTGAAATAAGCCTTTTCTCAATGATTGCTTTCGGGCTCTACAAAAAATTAAATTTAGTGCTTCCCAAAAATGTAAACTCAGGATTGTTATTTGTGTTATCAAGTAGACTGGCTTTAGTAGACTTTAGAAAAAAAAGTCCTGTTATAGTCCAGCGCATGCGTAACGGCAACTATGCTCCACTAGCCCTTTGCAATTGGGGTGAAAGGTAATTTCGATCTCTTACAATTCATCTAAAATGAATTATTACAAGTTGGTACATCTGTCGTGAGTTAGTGCAAGCTATAAGTCATTCTTTGTTTACAAGGCATTTGAAGTTGACGTGAATTAAGTTTAGCACGCCGGAAAACGGTTTTTTTTTTAAATAATGAGACGAGTTATTTATTTACAGCGAACTATCGCTGGATAATGTGGAAATCAGACTGATTTTATTAAATAATATTTCTTATACCGAAATTTCATAGTTTACTCAATGTTAAATAAATTTACAAAGAATGCTTATTAAGTGATTGGGTTATTGAACTTCACAATTTTGATCAATTCAAAGAATTGGTACAGAATATAATTTTGTTTTGTTCAATTTATTTATAATAATTTCAAGTGGTAGGAAACGGTCTCAAATTACATATACTTTGTATTAATTGATTTATTATCCCTTTTTATTA